ACATAGTAATGTTTTTTATAGACAACCTGTCTAATATAAGCGACCCTGAAAAGGCACTGTGCAGTACTTGATGCATAGTATAGAGGTGAGAAAGTGGGTGACAGTCTGTAAATGGTGTGCATTGGGCTGTATTGTTACTGTATGATAAAAATACAGAGTGACTTAGGCTTCATATGTGGTTCATAAAGGGTTGAGGATGAGATGGGGATTGTTCATGTGAGTCCATAAGGTTAGGTGTGCTGTGTGAGTGCAGGCCACATGTACAATTCACTGCGTAGCTACTGGCTGTTCAGTAGCTTAATGGCCTGGGTAAAGAAGCTGTCCTGAAAATCAGCAGAATCTGGACCTTTGTGCTTCTTTACCGCCTACTACTCGGCAGCAGTGAGAACAGACAGTGGTTTGGGTGGGTGGAGTCCTTTATGATTTTCTTACTCGTCTTTAGACAGTGACTGGTGTATAACTCCAGGAGAGATGGAAGCTGAACCTCAGTGATCTGCTATGTTGTCTGCATCACCCTCTGCAGAGCTTTGTGTTCAAAAGCAGTGCAGTTCCTGTACAAGACAGTGACACAGCCAGTCATGTCACTCTCAACAGTGCAGGTGTAAAATGAATACAGGGTTCTTACCAAATCTCCTTAGCCTTCTGAGGTAGAAGAGGTGCTGCTGTGCCTTCTTCACCACATGTGTGGTGTGTTCTGACCATGTAAGGTCCTCTGTGATGTGTATGGCGAGGAACCTGAAGCTCCTGACTGTCAACAGTAGCCCCGTTGATCGAGATGGGTGTGTGGACTTTTCCCTTGAGGGTCAGTGAGGAGGCTTCCCTTCTTTTACCACCTGGCAACGGCCTGACAGAAAGTTCAGGCTCCAGCTGCACAGAGAACTGTTCAGCCCCAGAGCACGAAACTTAATGTTGAGCATTGAGGGCACAATGGTATTGAATGCTAAGCTTGTAATCCACAAACAGCATTCTCACATATGTGTGTTCCTTTCGTCCAGATGGGAGAGGGCAGTGTACAGTGTCAGGGACAAAGAATCATTGGATCTCTTTAGACAAATTGCAGTGGGTCCAGTGCAGCAGGAAGTGAGAAGCACATGAAGTCTTTACTTTTTGAGGCTTTCTGTTTTAACTTTTTTGCTTCACTCTGCTGCCCTTATGATGGACTGGCGACTTGGCCAGGGTTTTTTGTGCCTTTCGCCCAATGACTGCTGGGATAGGCTGCAGCACCCTTTACAACCCAGAAGGATAAGCGGCGTAGATAATGTGTGTGTGTTTTGCTCTGTTGGACCAGAGCCTTAGGTCTGTGTTTAACAAAACACATTTTTGTTTGTTACTCAGGTTTGCCAGATTCACTGAGCAGGAGAAATAATGGGTTATAAATGTTATTATTACATTACATGATTTTTTTAAGCTGATAAAAGCAACATCAGGTCACTTTGGGGCTCAGAACTGGCTGTAGACCTTCTCTCTTTGAACTTCAAAGTGCGTGTGTTTGAGCCACAAAGTGAACTTCACTATAACGAAAGTACGGCTTTCATTTAAAAAATACACGGTTACTGCAGATTTTGAATATGTAATATATTTAATATAAAAATACAAACTCCACTCTAAAACAAGCACACGAGTCTTTACTACACTTAAATTATTATAAAGTTCAGAATGTTTTATTAATGTAATTATTTTTCACAGTTGCAATCCTGAAATCAGTTCCTGCGTCCCACGTTTCTGCCCCTGGCATAGCATCTGGCATCAAATATGTCACTTTGCTCAGTAAAAATACAATTCTTGAAAGAGCGCTGTACGTTTATTTACCCTGGACAGGGTTCTGACTTGTGAGTGGGCAGTCGTTTCAAGCCTGGTAGACCAGGAAACTGTTAAGCATGACAAAGAAGAACGATTCAGCTCAAAACCCATCCATTGGGTGAGGAACAACTAAATGTGATAAACCTAACAAGTCTGGTGTAGTGGGTTGTCTTTGTTAGATATGGCAAACAGTGAAATATCATTTTACACCAAATACAAGGTGCAAAATAAAATTAAAGATGAGTGAAGTGGTAAAAACAAACATGAGGCTGCAGGAGAGAAAAACTAAAACCTTGTTTCCATACTGAACAAACTACTAGAGTGTGTCGCTGTATTCACACGACGAAGAATACTTTTAATGTATTGAGTGCTTTCTCAGAGATTCGGCATGATTTCCTTTAAAATGAGCATAAAAAAGTGTTAAGCTCGTCAGGAAGCACAGCACTGGTGTTAGTCACACTGTGAGTTTTCCCCTTAAAGTCCATTATTGTGTTTAGCCCCAGCCACATGCTTCACACATTGGTGGTGTTGAACTGTGATACTATCTTTGCTCTGTACTCAAGTTTGGCTGATTTTATGGTTTTACGGAAGGCGTAGGTGGCTTTTTTATGCTTCTCCATGTCTCTGGATTAAAAGCTGTGCTTTTAGAGGTAATAACAGTATTAAAGGCAGGGTAACAAAAACAGCCTGTTCTAAGGTATAAAGAGAGGTTGCAAAGTGGTCACATAAAAAAAATAATGACAGCTATTTTCGATACGTAAAACTAACACAAATGTTACATGAACACGAGGGAAAAAATATAAAATACAAGAACAAGGACACAACGTCTTTGGTGCAAAGCACCAGCATGTAGTACCCTAAAAGTCCTAGAAATCGTCTGCTTCTTGCGTGTCCACAGTGTTCAGTAGACTTATTTAAGCTGACACAAGGTTAGTTTCATTTAGTTACAAGGGTGTCAGTAGCTCCCCCTTGTGGACAGTCTTGTTAAACGTGAGTGAGTGAGTGAATTACAAATCAGTGCTTTGCATTTAATAAAATATAGGATATCGGCCCTTGAGGTAATTACAGTCAGGTCAAATAATTGTGACCAGGCTATTATGTAATAATTGTGAAAGGGCTAGATTTTATTTTTAAAACTACACTAAAACACAGATGTGACTTGAGGAACAGTCTGGTGAGATATAGACAATAAAAGCTTTTGAACTGCTAGAGCTAGATGCTGAAGAACTCTGCTAGATGCTGAAGATCAGACATAACTAGCATATTTCTCACCCCTACTCTTTGGCCTGCCGACTGCTGCCACATGCTGATGTGGATTTAGAGGATTTTTGTATTTGAAAATAACCAGAGAACTGGCCACAAGCTGAGGGCACGCTTTATTGTAATAGATTCTGACATTCCAAAATCAAGGCAGTTGAATTGCCATCTTCGTATTGATGCATGGTGATGCATTGGTGGATTTTTGTGCCTCCAACACACACAGGCTAAACAGTAAATGGCACTCCCACATTTGGTCAGTGTTGGAGCGCAATACAGGTCCTGTATCCATGGGCGTTGTGCTGTGCAGCTGTGATCACACCCACCATGTTCAATCCCAGAGGCTGAATCTATGGTCTGCCTTTGGGAGTCTTTTGCTGCACTCCCACCAGTAGCCATACACCCACCCGGCCAACAGCACACCAGTGTTCTCCAAGCATTTTTCCACTGCTTGTTTGTCCTCACCCAAAAGTATTTAAAGGGATCAGTCCAGAGGGTGTTTTGGACAAGTTTAAGGGCACTAAGCAGCACATATCTGATGTAACTGTGGCCAACTACAAGATTGATGTTGGCGTTGGTCAAGAAAATCACACACAACGCAATTTATTGTGCAGTCAGATACCGTCTTGTTACTCACTGTGTTATATAGCCAATGTTGGGTAAGTAAGGATTTCACTAGGCAACTCAGTGACCTTCGTGAAGAAGGAAGTGTCCATAGAAATCTACTGGCCTTTATTTACTGGGGAGCAGGCTGCATTCCTCAGAGGCAGATTCTGGGAAAGACACACATTGCACACATGCAAATGCACCTCTGTGCATGCACAGGCACTTGTAGAATGTGCATATACAGCCCAATGTATTCTCTCTCCTCTGAACACACATGCACACACGCACGCTGATAAGGTGGGCACACAGTAAGCTGAAACACCAGACCCCATATCAATAATATGTGTTTGCACTGCAAATAACACTTCATAATGTTGCTGGGAGATTGCAGTGTTGCAAGGTTCAGGGTCATTCTTGTTTTCAAAATTGCTGCTCTTTGTTGAAATGTCACCATAAAGTAAATGTGAAAGAGACACATTATGCAGAAGAAGCATTATACATTAAGAACAAGTGGATTGTATTTTTCTCTTTCTCATTCCTAAGATTTTCAGGTACTGTTTGTCAGTCATGGTCACTTATAATTGGACATAGAGTGGTTCTGCTTTAATCTACTTTCCTCTACTCTCATTACCTCAGCAGTGAATCTATAGCCTAATGTATATTCACCTCAGTTGTAGTTCAGTTGCTTCTTTTCAGTTGTGCAGAGAACTATAGGCAACATTTTTAAATGTTAAAATGGCACATATATACTTTTCCCATAATTTTTAATTTCCCGGGGTCTACTTAGTTTAATTTTACATGACCATTTTCAAACCTCTCTTCATGCAGGTTAAAAATATATGCAATATATGTTTTAGCATTCATGTATATGTGTACATATAAATGTGTGTATATATATTAATGATATATATTATTATATATATGTATATAAGGGTGTCCAATTTAAGTGTTTTCATACATTTCAAAGATATATGGAAATATACCACAAACTTCACATGAAAAATATAGAAGAAAATAGATATGACAATGTATTTCCTTTGCATATGGGTGGACAGGTGGATATACATAAATGTATTGGTTTTTGTGATGACAGAAACAACAAATTCAGAATGCATTTATGGACCCTATGGAATGGGGAGTACAGAGTACATTCTGATACTTTGACAGTGTATACATAGTTCATCAACCTTCTTAAATTCATAAAAGTGAGAAAAATTCAGTTTTCCATTATATAGGCCCTTTGAGTTCCCTTATGTGGAACTTAAAGGCCCTTATCCATCAGGGTTTGGAATTGTTTCAGCATCATAAATACTTGTTTCTCTTTGAACCTTTCTCAGATGAAAACTGGGATGACGACCAGCTCTTGGGATTTGAGCCGTGCAATGAGAACCTGGTTACGGGCTGTAACATCATCGATGGGAAGTGTGAATGTGACAGCGTACGAACATGCAACAACCCATTTGAGTTTGCCAGCCAGGAAGCTTGTCAGACAGCCCTGAGGAAGATCGAAGGTACTCTCACTCCCTCCTTCTCTCTATCGCTGTGTGAATAACTAACTCAGAAGCTTGTACATGCATGGTCATGTTTTAATATAGCATTCAGAATATGTCGTTGTGCAACATCAAACTTCACTGATGCGTGTCAGGCCTAAACCTTTCATTTGGACACCCCCGGCTACTCGATTCACTGAGTTTACCCAAATAAACATTACAGGGCTGATTAATGGTCTTGGAGGGAGGCTATTTATCGTCTGCTGTCTTAGTGTTGTGTGTCTCATTTCGAGAAGCACTCCCTCCCTTTGTGGATAAAGGGTATAATACATACTTCTGCTATGCTAAATTATCTGTGATTAACTTGGTAATTGGAATGGACATTGTTGTTAGTTCCAAAATGATCATGAATGAATCAAATAAGCAGCAGTCTCTTAGGATCATTTTAGGACTGATTTAACCTATGATCTCCTTCAGGGAATTAATTTGAACTTAATCTGATGGATGGGCATCAGATTCAGGTGGATGTAAATGTCATATTCCGTGACGCTGCTTATATTTGCCCATATTTTCTGTTTGTCATACTGTTTATATTTGTCCCACTTATCTTGTCTTTTCTCCTGTAATTATATTAATTTGGATCCACTGAACTGTTTATTAACAGATTACTCTCAGAATTTGTCAGAAAGTGCTACCCAAAGCATGTTTACCTGACTGTTTTTCTAATGCATTTTTGCGCTTGCTCAAACCACTGGATAACAACTCCCTTGAAATCCCTGGAGCTAAACGCTTTTTATCTTATTTTGATATGGTCTTTTCTTTTGCTTTTTCTTTTGCAAGAGGTGTGGTAGGAAGAGTGAATGTTTTTCTTTCCTCTTTTTTTCAGGTCCGTGTTGTTTATATGACAAGTTTCTTCAGACGTCTGTGATTAAACTAACAAATGACTTTATTTACCCAAAGCTGATAAGGCCCCTTATAGGGCTATCAGAATGCAAATGTTGCGTTGAAGAACGCGCTCCCTGATGGATACACACTGCATTCCCTGCCTGCGCCTGTGTGTTCACCCTGGACTGGCAGCACACTGGCAATTAAACTGAAAAATATATGCTTGTTATCGTAACGGTCCTAGCAACGGGTGATGGCCCTTGTTGTTTTATTTTGGCTTGTGTACTTTCGTCGGCCCTGCAGCAGGCTGCTTTCCCTTCAGTGTTTTGTCTTAATAATAGGTGGCTGTTATGTTGTTTTGACTGATTGGGCTTTGAAGTCATTGTCTGTCACGCAGTTGCCACTTGTTTATTATGATGTTGTGTCTAGGTTGGGCTACTGTTTAATGGGCGTGTGTGCAGTTGTCACGTGTTTAGTGATATTTTGTCTAGTTGTGGCTGCTGTTGTGCTGTGTCTTTGGCAGCTCAGTGTTGCTGAAGTATACCTGCTGTTTTCTTCATCTATATGTAGATGGGCCTTTTATACTCAGACTGGTCCTAGTATGTTGTTTTTCATTTCAATTTTACAACAGCATTGTGCTGCTCATGCTTAGTTGTCTTGTACTATCAAGTTCGTACACTATACACGCTGGCTTCTCTTTAATGAGGCATGTATAAAGACTACCCACCTTCACCAGCAACCTCAGAACATAATGGGCTTTTTCCTGCTTGAGAAAGTGGTTCATTTTTTGGTAGTTGTGTAAAAGGGAACTTGTTTTTCTTTCAATATCTTCATGCATCTGTTTGTGCTCAGTATGGCAAGGGCTTGGGGGGGCGGGGGCACATTTTTGCGCTGTCGTAATTGTATGCGCTCAGCGGTTATCATTTACATAAGAAAAACATTACTGTCGTGATCCATCAACTAAGCCCATCTTTTTGCACTTGGAGTCTGAAGACATAGTGAGATCTTATTGATTTTACATTAAACAATTGCTTCTGTCACACAGAACTGGAACCTTCTCCATAATGCGATTAAACTCCATCTCATCCTCCCACATCCACTCCTTGCTGCGTTGCCGACAGCAAAGGGGCGGAAAGAGACAGAACCGCATTTAAACAACTGCACATGTAACCGAATGGGAACGAGCTGAAATATGGGCTCGTCCTTAAAGGTCATTCACCCTATCTCATCGGAAAAAGTTCCGTGCTAGCGGAGGAATTTAATGTATTTACAGGCATCCTGCATACGCAAGGGCGTATGCTGAAGAGAAGAGCGATAATATCGGCAGTGAATCAGCGTGTGCCATGTTTTTCAGAGGTGCTCTGACCTCTGGAGTCTTGTGTAGCCTGTAATAATTCTAAACGCCAAGAAAGAGAGGACACCTGAAAGGGCAGAAGGAGACTGATAATGATGTTCCTCAGCTTTCCTCAATGGCTCCCTAATGACACCTGTTTTCCTCTGGACCATTCCCACTACAGGAAATCAATCCTCAATAAAACTGGAATAATATGTTGACCTTTGATGGCTAACTAGATTTTCTCAAGGTGTGAAAAAAATGTCAGAGTAGTAAATCATAGTCAGACAGTGGACGGTAGAGATTGACCTTAAGAGTTAAGCCATTCTGGTGCAGAGCTGTAGATGTAGGTCCAATAGACTGCTTGGAGATACCAATCAAGTTTCTCTGATGGAATTATCCAAGTACATTTCCAGCTTTTTGCAAAGTTAACATTTTACCATGCCATAATGAGTCAGCATTACTCAGCCATGCCTGACTGCCAGCTTACAGAGGAGGAAAAACAAAACACTCTTTCGCAAAGTGAAAGAACGGTTGAAGATAGAATGGGAATTTCAGTGTTCTGTGCATGCATACAAACATAAAGATACAAAAGTTGTTTTACTTTGGACCTGACAGTATATCTTTTACCATTCAAAACGGACCTTGTGTGGCATCAGCCAGGGCTTCTGTAAATGGACGTTCTTTGGATCCCTGGTGACGAGAGAGTTCTTGCTATCATGTAGAACTGGCTTGGGAAATACAAAGAGTGCTAAAGTGATAAGAGGGCTATGGGAAACCACCATAACTTGTGAAGAGTGTCTGCATTTGAAATTAACATGGAGGTAAATGGTAGTCTTCCAAAGACCCAGTTTAGCCCTCTGACCCATAGGTTGGGGTAATTCTGTAAGCTACCAAAACTACTTTTAGAAGGCGACTCCAGATAGGGGAGCGATTATGAACACACTCTTTGCTTTTGATATTAAGTCACAAGTCTGTCTGGAAAACTGTTTAAGATAAAACCCAGAAAGCAGAGACAAGAATAGCACATCGGTGTGCGTGTGTGTGTGTGTGAGAGAGAAAGAAACTACCTTTTAAAAGGCAGACTGCGGACAAGAGCTGCAGATAAGAGTCTAGGGGAATTGAAATATGAGATGAGAGTGAGAGTCCTTTTTTAGGGGAGAGTGAGAGGCAGGAAGTTTTGTTCTCTGGGAGTCTGCTGCGCTGTGAGTGTTGGTTCCTCTGACCCAGCTAGGCCAAAGCACATTAAAGGAAATGCCTAGCATTCCTGCCGCAGAGCCGTGTCTCTGACGCTCTGGCAGGATTACAGTGAAGAATATTTGTTCTGGGGAGCCGGCCATGCTAATTGCAGGCCCTGTTGTGTGCGGAGAGAGAGCAGGCGCTCATGCCAAAAGCAACATGTTTCTGTTCGGCTCAACAATGTCCTGTTTTCAAGGAGAGAATGGAGGGGGAGGGGGCGAGCCCAGCAACGGAATGCATAAAAGTACTGTACTTTTCATTGCAGCCTCGTCCTGTGAAGCAGTGCACACAATGCATATTTGAAAAGGGCTGAACTGTGATGTGGATTTTTTCCAGAGCCCTTCTGGCTACAGTATGACATGAAGAAACAGTTAAAGGTTCATGAAAGTTTAAAGATGGCCATTCCTGTTCATTGGCATGTACATTAATTGATTATTTGAGGGGGCAGAGTGTAATTAATCTTGGTGGCTATTGAAAGCTCCGTAAACAGATCCTCGGCATTCCTGCTGTGTGTTATTTTCTCCTCCCTTGACTTTGGCGGATGAGAATGTTTGGGGACATCTGTCTATTCAGCGTGAGCGTGGTCCACCTCCTCCTCACCGGACGCCAAGATTTAGAGCCACTGCGGCTCCCTGAACTTGCTCACATCAATCTGTCTGGGCAGCAGGATGCGCTAGACTTTTGGAAACTAGAACGCCTCCGCTCTGGAAACAAGTGATAATGAGATGTAGTTCTGTCACATTTACAGGGATGGCTCGACCCCTGTAAGCCCACAGCGTTGGTAGAGTTTTCCTCTACTCTCCTGAGGCAGAGAATTAGTAATGTTATTAAGCTGCCATTGATTCCATCACCCTAGCTAGTTGCATTCTGGGCCAAAGAAGTAGAGCCTATTAGTTGAACTTCTTCAGAGCTTATCAGCTAGAAAATTGAGTCAGGTTCACTTAACTTTCAAATGGATCTTGGTCTGAGAGTATCTAATGAACAATTCCAGTAGCAGCAGCAGTGGGTGTGTGCTTGATATTGACATTTTTCATTGAGTACTTCATCATAATATAAGAGAATTAACAAAAAAATTCTTTTCACTTCTTAAAGCTGTATGTGAGTACTTCTTCTTCTGCATTTTTCACCTTTGGATCTAGATCTACGGAATTGCAACAGACTGATTAACTGAATTGCAGCAATACTACTGACAGGTGCTATGTCTGGCTAGCTATTTCTCATGTTCTTGAGAAAATCTTGAAGCTTGTGGCCCACCATCACTTTCCTCAGGGGTAAAGCACAAGGGATGTAGTATGATTTGAATAGCCACTTAACTCATTTCAAAGTACTCACCACACAGATTGCCTCCACAGGCGGCAGTTTCCCATCATCACCACTCTACAGAATGCTGCAAAGTCTGATGGCAAGCATGGAAATATCTTGGGTACCAGTGTTTTCTTGCTCACTGTAAAAAAGGCCTGATCCCAGAATCTTCAAGTCAAATAGGAGCTGGATTCTGGGTTCTGAGGTTAGCCCGAAACTCAGCAGTGAGTTCACTCTTCTCCTGCATGACCCAGTCAAGGCT